GTGTGTGTGTGTGTGTGTGTGTGTGTGTGTGTGTCTGTAGGGGTGTGTGTGTGTGTGTGTGTGTGTGTGTGTGTGTGTGTGTAGGGGTGTGTGTGTGTGTGTGTGTGTGTGTGTGTGTGTAGAGTGGGTTTCATGGGTTTGTCAGACTAGTGTCTCAGACTCACTTCCATTCTTCTCCAACAGACTGCTAGGATTGCAGGGTTGGTGTGAGTAAATTCGACCACTTTTCTCTCTCAAGGGTGAGCATCGCTAATTCTGGGCGACGTGTTGAGTCCTTCCTTATCCATCAGTCAAATGCATCCTGGGCAACCTGTCGGGGTTCAACCTCCTGATGAGTCAGCGAAAATCCAATCAAACAGTCTGGCACAGTCATGCTCGTTTTGTGGAGCTGAGTATAGCAAACATGACCACACACACACACACACACACACACACACACACACACACACACACACACACACACACACATTTCAGGACTAAGGTACGGCCACATACGCCCATACCCTCGCACAACCAAAGCACATCCACACAGCCACGAAACGGTAGCTGGGTATCGCTCCACATGACAAACAATCACTTGCCACCAATGCCCACCATCTCCCTGGATGATAAGCTTACTACTTGTGATAACAAAGCCCACCGACTGAACCAACAACCAGCACACCAGATAACCTTCTCACCAGTTCATGCAAGCCGAGAAAAACTTTTGACACATGGGGCATTGGATGCATGCAGCACAGAAATGACGAAATGCCCACTTGTCTCTGGACCCCACCATCTCCCTTCCCGGTGCCTGGATGTCTCTGTACCCCCTACTCTCATACATTTGGATGGACCCATGCACACATTAGCAGCGCAGCGTGTGGCATTGCCCGCAATCTGCTGTCTCTCGTACCTCAAATCGAATTCCTTCCAGATGACGGCGATGTACCCTTGCATGAACCTTTTCATCCTTCTCAACCCCCCTTGCATACACAAGTCCACATACATCGCATGTTGTGCAGGTAAAATCCGACTGCCCTGCATCAATGAAATATTGTTCCCGGTAAACCCTGTTCGGAGCCAGCTCCGTGATGCCAGTCCGTCTGATTGCAGGGGATTTGGAATGAAGTTTCAAAATCTCAAACACGTTGTTGTGTTTCGTCTTCCACTTCTTCCCCTTGTCTTCCTGCCAATCCGGCCAATTCTTAGTGTTGCTTTGCTCTGCATCATTCTGGAATACCTCTCGCGCTTTATTTGTTCGTTTGCCTGCTTCTTCCTCCTCGCGGCTCAATTTTTTGCCGTTCTCCTTCCCGTCTCCCTCCTGTGACTTCCACTTGGACCCCACTGACAGCTTAAAGCAACCCTTGGAGTTAATCTTGCAATACCCACTGCTGCACTTATCACTGCCAGTCACAGGCGATGACACGCGCTCACTCGTAGCACCTTTCAGGAAAAAGCTGGATATCTTCCGCTGCTGGTTCCTGCCTGAGCAACCCTTTCTCTTGCCACTGTACGAGTGCACATCGCTCCCTCCAAGAGAAGAGTTTTCGGCAAGTGACGGAGTTTGCAGGCGTACATCATTCCTTGCTTGGCAGGACGTCAGTGTCCTTGGACCATCAGATGGCCTTGTGGTCCCCGGAACTGCCGGGACCGCCAATGTTGTCCCGTCACACGTATGGGACACATCCGTCTCTGTAGCAGCAGGCTCCCCCTCCTCCTCCTCCTCTCTCCCCTTCAACTCAGGCCGCCCTTCACATTGTTGATGTTCATTTACCGTCACAGCTCCTGCGCACCCGTAATCATCGTTACCTGTCATCAGATCATTCTGCTCCGCCACACCACAGCTCGAAGGACCCTGCCAGGCGTCATGGCATTCCTTCTCGCCTATCATATGACTAGTGCTTGCAATGCCTGCATCACTTCCCACACACACAAAAAAAAAAAAAAAACACGATTGCCCGACCACGCACGGAGCCACACACCCGACCAATACAGTAAACAAATGCATGGACGATTCGTCAGTACCTACCATGTTGGAGCACAAACACAAAGCAAATCAGAGAGGTAGCAAGAGACAAACAACGGGGCTAGAAACAAATTTTATAGTTTTGGTTTGGCTTTCTCTTTTGTTCTCTTTTCCTTTTTTTTTTTTTTTTTCAATAGAGCGCAGGCTCCTTTTTCGAGGCTTGTTTTTAGGGGTGTTTTGGGGGCAAGTACCCAACATGTCCCCACATAGGCAGAATGCACCGTCACATCCGTCTGCCAAAAGTGTGTTTGCAGGAAATGACCACGCATCAATCTGAAGCAGCGACATAATTTGGGGTAACCGTGGCCTTGCAGCAGACGGTCCAGAAGCAATAAGGCAGACCTAGGTTGGTGACAGGGACAATTCTCAAGGGACTACTCAGCAAAGGAGTCACGGAGACAGCAGCCATTAGACCACCAGTGCCGCCAAGTCTGTTTTTCCAAACCTTCCCCGGCTGGGCACACTCTCAAAAACCTACCCTGGCTTGGTCGGAGAAAAATGTTTCCAGATGTATGTTTCAGGATAGCATGTTGGTCCAATTCAAAGACAGGTAACAAGCTGCGTGCACCCTAAATGACCTTTCGGTCTGCAGTGGTGTAAGCCCCTGTCCGGACTTGGTGACCTGTTCACTCAGCCAAGGATCCATCGTCTTGTAAATACTGTGAGCTACACGGGGAGAGGCATCTATTGTTCCACGAGTGGATTTTGTATCGCTATTTCGACTTTGTTGTAATGGTGTCCATCACAACTTCGTTGCCTTCTTTGCTCACGAAGGCTGAGGGCATGCTCGCACTTTGCAGACTCGATAGACGTGGAAATAAACAAAACTAGGGACATGAAAATTAAAAAAACTAAGGAAATTTGTCTGCAATAACCAGGCTCAGCTACCCTAGGACCTATCGGCCTACACCTGCCTCCGATGAGCTGTTGTTAGACCCAGTGGGACCAAAAACCACTGGGTCTATAGGTCCGATAGGTCCCACTGGGTCTAGCAACAGCTCATCAGAGGCATGCGCTGATCCTCCGGCATATCCGTTAGAATTGGAACGATACACAGATAGAAGATTAGCATGGCCCCTGCGCAACAATGACACGCATAAATTGAGAAATGGTCCAATTCCTTGGTCAAAAAAAAAAAAAAAACTTTGGCATTGAATTCTCTTCAAGCTGGCTGTGGTGGAAGCTTTCAACCTTCACCTGGGAGCTTCTCACCTACCGTCTTCACCTGAATAGAACGCCCGGTCATTATAGTCGTATTTGGTGCGACTTCCAGTCCAGATACAGTCATAATTACTGGGCGATCTATTCGGGTGAAGACGTCAGGGCTGAAGGGGCTTGCTAGATGCGACGTCAGTCACAGAAGACATCAACAAGGAGCTCAGTAGTACTGGCATCCGAGTGATGGTAAGTGAATCAGGCTCATGTTGGACCATGGGGTTGGTAGCGAGACGAAAGCTTCACAATGGAGGTCAGTAAAGTCTAGGGGAGACTTATCTGAGCTGTGTCACCATCTGGCGAACGCCAGACTGTACGCTTTTGGAGGCAACACTCTGGATTGTGCAATGCAATAACATGGAGTAAGGTGCCAAGAAGCTTGAAGAAGGGACAATTGAACGCTTTTGCAATGCCATCTTGTCATTTTTTTCTTCGTCAGGATTTCCAACACACATGGTCTTCTCCTGGGTGTGCTGAAACATAATGTACTGGCATGGATGGTATAGCGCATGGTCTCCTTGATGGTCATTCGTTGGGCCTCGCTCCACTACTCACCAAATGTGCAAAATGAAAACGAATCTTCCGCTAGCACAAGGGAAGATGCACGGGCGTTTTTTGTCTTCTGTGCATGTGGTGAGTAGTGGAGCGAGGCCAATTGTCTACCGAATGTCATAGGCGAGCCAACGTCCAACGCGGTGCTCATGCTCGTCGGAGGTTCGGACACCTCAGCCTTGCAGCAGTGCGAGCTACTGCTGCGGTTGTTGTCAGTGAATTGTGCTATACTTGCTTATCTGTTTGCGCTGGGTTTGATTGATATTGATAGCAGAGCGTCCTAGATCCATCTGATTCCATCGGGGATTGAATTCAGGTCTGTACATGAACAGTTCATGAGTGTACCATTCAGCCACACAGTTCAAATGAATGAATCTAGGACACTCTACCCAGCCTAGATTCATTCATTTGCAGTTTAGCACCTCTTCTGCAGGTTCTACAGATCGTTTGTCCTCAAAGCTAGCTACCACATGTGGAGCCTTGCTGCACCGCTCCCCCCAGTTGTCAGAAGCTTCATTTACGTGCTGCGGCAGTACGGCCCCGGTACCGTGTCCCATTTCCTAGAACCTTACGGACTGCCGCAGTACGGCCCCTGTACCGTGTCCCATTTCTCAGAACCTTCCGGACTAACGGAAGGTTCTAGGAAATGGGACACGGTACAGGGGCCGTACTGCGGCAGCATCTGAATCCTTTCAAGTGTGTCTGTAATAATTTGAATGGGAAGGTACACTTGCATTTTTCCGATTTGGGGAGTAGTGCAGAGACGGTCATACACAGATAAACAGTTAGGATATGCTGGTCTTTGTCTGCAAGTGGCATGCTGTTACCGTCTTCGCCTGAATAGAACACCCAGTGATAATGGCCTTATCTGGACTGGAATTTGCACCAAAATTGCCCAAATACACAGCTATAATGACCGGGCGCTCTCTTCAGGTGACGACGACTGTAGTCCGCAGACTCAGAACTGTAATGTGGACGATGTCAAAGCACGGCATCATGCTGACTGCTGAATTGACGGCAGTGTTTGTTCATGGTCCACCTTGTGACGATTCGCATCGTCCTTAACATATTCATGTTCAATTCACTGCAGCATAGTGACCGCCGAATTGCGAGCAGCGTTCATGGCTCACCCTGTGACGATTTGCGTCATGCTGTTGTTTTCCTTCCTTTCTTTCTTTCTCTCTTTCTTTCTTTCTTTCTTTCTTTCTTTTTTCCTTTCTTTCTTTCTTTCTTTTTTCCTTTCTTTCTTTCTTTCTTTCTTTCTTTCTTTCTTTCCCCCCCGCTTAAACCACCAGTAGATGTTCTTTCCCCGCTTAAACCACCAGTAGATGGCCCCAGGCAACCGGAGAACCGGTTTTGAGCCTCTCCAAAGGTTTAGGGGCCGAATGCCGTAAGGTAAAATGAATCGGCGGTGGGCGGCCTCCGAAAGGGGSCCGCGGCCGATAGCTGGCATGTACTGGTGCTTTAACATCCTGTGGTGTCCTGCGGTCCCGTGGTGGTGAGGGAACCAGCGAGATCGAGACCATCTTGTGGATGTTGTCTTCCTCTCTTGTTGCTCTACCTTTCATGTGTTAAGTTCACAGATGTGACATTATTATGCGATAAAGCAACATAGCAAACATATGTCACATCACTGCCAACTAGGACTGCATTCATAGTGTTGGCGGTGGTGGTGGTTCGGCGGGGGGGGCATGCGGGGGAGTGAAAAAATTGCAGCAGGAATTTCAGGAAATGCAATTAATGAACGCAAAAGCCTCTCATTTTCTTTCCCATTTTTGTATGTGTGTGGGTTTCCCTTTCTTCCCTTTTTCTTTGTTTTTTCTTTATCCTTGCGCAGGGGCCATGCTACTCTTCTCTGTATCATTCCAATTTCTTTTTGAGGGTGTCCCGAAGATCTTTTAATTCCCTTTCTCCTTTTTTTCTCCCAGTTTTATTTTCACTTCCGTTCTTTTGTGTGCTTGCACGTTTCCAACGCAAGGTTGACCATGCATGCAAAGCGTCGACACAGGAGTCTGAAGCAGCACACTTGCAAACCCCCTGCTGTGGTGTCAACAGAACAAACACACATATAACTCAATGGATGCAAATCGTAAACGACATTCAATCGCTCATTCAAAACAAACAAGAGGAGACAAGCAGAGAGGTGATGAATGAAAGGACAGGATCGGCCACGGTCGAGTACTTACCGGCAGCGGCGTTGATAAGTTATGAGCATTGCAAAGCTGTGCCTTGAAAAATGAGCCGTTCACTACCATGTCTGTGCGCAATCAAGTTGCATTGCTGCCCAACCCGACAGAGACCGGAAGTAGGCGCAATCAATCTCAGGTGCAATCAGCTCGCAAACCATTAGGCCCCTCTGAAAGTCAAACGCCCCCCAAAAAAAGACACCAGTCAATCAATACCAGGCCTTTCCTTCTGTCAGCAGTTTGGCCCCCTATCATTCCACACAGACACACCAACAGACAAACAGATAGACAAACAGATCGAAACGGCTTGAACGAGACACAGCAGTGCATTCGCACGCAGGCAGTCTGGCAGGCACGCAGGCAGTCTGGAAGGCATGCAGACAGGCAGTCTGGCAGGCAGGCAGGCAGTCTGGCAGCCACGCAGGCAG